CGGGTGTCGGAGGCGTCCCGGGACGTCCTCTCTAGTTTAGGTCTCTGCGCCCGAGTGGTATGTGTGAGAACCGTGGAGTGAGTGTGTTGGTGTGCCTGTCTTTTGCCATTTTTTTAAATATAGGTGCCCTGAATAGGATAGGTAGCTTATTTTCTGGTATGCCTGTGTTTAATTATAAGTAGGTAGGGCCGGGCAGGTTGGCACAGTCTCTGGTCGCGTGTCTACTTTTCGCGTGTCCAACCTGTTTCAGGAAATCTAATTTGAAAAATCGACAATGAAATTGGTACAAATGGAGCATGCCACTTGTTTCTGATTTTATTCTTCGATTTTTCGAATTTAGCATCGCGGTCGCGGTCGCGGATAGGTCGCGAGTAGGTTCCGAAACGAACGTTTATGTAGATATTGCTCGAGCACGCACATGCGAACGGACAACGATCACTATGATCGATGGTCGTCCATGTGCATTTGGTTTAGTTTCCGCGATTTATCTTTTCATTTCACCTTTATAAGTTATTTTTTTGGTTTGCGATTAGAAAGGCTCGAGCTAGATGTAAGTTTCAGCGGGTATTGCGCCCGAAGAAAGAAAAGGCTAGAAGCCGAAGAGGCCCGGCAAACTGCCACGAAGAGGGTCACAACAAATGATTTCTCATCCTCTGGATCATTAAAATGATTCCAGAGCATGGGAGGTCATTCTCGTTACTACTTTGTCACTATGCTCTTTTAGTATTTGTAGTTGTATTTTTTCTTTTTTTCTCCATCATCGTTCATTACCCTTTTGGGCAAATCGCGACTTTTATTCTTAGTGCTGCGAGAGATCGATTACGGGTTGAATTAGAGTTGCGAAATAATTTCGCGCCTGTTTATTAGTGTTGCGAGAAATTGATTACGGTTTAAATTAGAGTTACGAAGAAATGATAATCGTGTTTGCTTTAGAGTTGCGAATTATGATACCGCGATTGTCCTTTGCAATTTTAATTTTGAATTTTTATGATTGTAGTATTATACGTATTAAAATTTATCTTGCTTGTTTTAAGTTAAATTATAGAGTCATTGCCATTAATTAATTTTAGATTGTTATAATATTTGAAGTAGCTTTTGTATTGTTAATAATAATTTTCACTGAACGTGGTTTTAGAATTAGTGTTGCGACGTTATTTCATCGTGATTTCCAGTTACTTATATTCTCTAGTGTTGCAATATTGTTCAATAGCGATTAATTTTCCTCCTAGTGTTGCTATAATAAATTATCGCGTTTCTTGAAGTAGCGTTGCGTATACAAAATGCCCAAATTCTTCCACTGGATTCGTGGAAGGCTGTTCCTGCTCCTGGGTCATCTGATGCAGCTACAAGAGCTGTTACTATCATCAGCAACTTCCAGCATTGTTGCACTGGACGCGTCGCAATTAGTGTTGCGCAACATGAGTGCATAGATTAATAGCGTTGCATACTTATTTTCGGGAGTTTTAAACATAACAAAGCACTCTTCGCGTTTGATTTTGAAAGTTTCCTGTTTTAGAATTAGTGTTGCGAAACAAAATGCGGTTTGTTGCTCGTAATGTAGATAATTGTACAGTAGCCTTTCTGGTTATTGTATTGTTGAGGAGGACACATTTGTTTTTTTAGTAGCCCTTCTGGCTACTATGTCGTGGTTTTTTTTTCAATAGTCCTTCTATTGACTTGCTTTCTTTTTTTTTCCGAATGTTTTAGTGGTGTGGAATTTTTGTGTTAATTTTCTTAAACTAATAGTCCAACAAATGAGTTTGTTACAGATTTATCAACTTCCAAATGGATGGAGAAAAGGTGGAATAACGTGGACTATGGAGTATAAAAAGAATGATGCCTGGGTGCTCTCTAATGGTAATTAAATATATCTTGTTAAATTTATTTTACAAATCTTTTTGTTGCTAATAAAAGAGGATTGCGCGTAGAACGCACTAAATATAGAAAATTCTATGAAATATCCGAAACAGAGTGCTCGTTACAAGATGACTGAAGCAAATTTCTGCTTAAATTCTATTTCGCTAATTTCATTTTTGAGAAATATGAATTTGCAAAAGACGTTCGCAGTCTAGCCAATCTTTACAGTTACATTGGTTTATTTGATTGACGAAAATCAGTAGTCTGTGCTAGCGATTTCTGGTTGACAATTGAATTGGAATATTTGACTTCTGTCGTTAATTTAACAATAAATATCGCTAAGTATTTAATTGATTCGGAGTAAATTTACTTTCATCTGTTGTTGAAACTTCCGTCTTTCTCTCAAAGTACTTGGTAGGAATTGGTAGTATTTACTTGGTAGTATTTTGGGTACAATTTTTTTTCCATCTTCGATAGTAACTGAGTTATTAGATACATCTTGTATTATTTAGATTTCTACTGTCAGTAGTGTCTTGTTACAGTGTTGTTGATTTTCTTTCATTTTTCCGCGCTTTATCATTGCTTCTCATTCAGGAAAAAGTCTATTTTATTATCTTTTTCAGTAAATATCGAAATATTTACGAATTTTGCTTCAGTAACATACTCGAAAGAATCCCACAGCATTCGCAAAAGAACCGAATAAAACTATTAATAGCTGCGTCAGCTGTTGCTTCACAATCTTCGAATACCACGAACCGAACATTGAACTGCCTTGAAACACGGATACTCCTATACTCGTGTATATATTCTTTTCAATAGTTTTCGTCGATGTAGTTTTGAATTTTAAAAATAGGGAACCTTTTTTTGTAACGCGGTGTTTCTGGCATTTCTGTATTAGCTTATAAAATAAGCTATCGATTTAAATAAAAAGTAAACATATAATATTTCTCCGTTATGCGCTTATTATAGATAATTTAGTTCAATGAAAAAATAATTGACAAAAAGCGGTACTATTTATTAATTATATTTTTCGTAATAGTATCTTCGTAGTGTCGTGTAACATTTCATAACGGGCCTTATTCTGTCATCTTTTATAATTACGCGGTCAGTCAATTCGCGGCACAGTTTGAAAGTTTAAACCGAAAGAAATAGCCGTAAGAACGAAGACAAAGCGAACGGTATAAATCGCGATCGATGAATGTTCATCTCGAATTTCGTCTAGATGCTCGATAGAATATCGGCGTGTTTACGCCACTGGAAATCGGTGGATGCTGCGTCAGGAGCAATGGCGGCACTGGCTTACCTGGCCAGTACCTCCTCCCCTCCTGTACGTATCGTCGTCACGTTCCTTAGGGCAACCCAACGAACCTGTTGCCCGTTCTCATCCAGTGTCGTGTCGCTTTCACGACGATCGTGCGCGGTTCATTGCGGTTCTTCAGCTCCGAAAGCTGACCGCTCCACTCCGCAGTGAATTCGTTTCTACCAAATTTCAAAGAATCCGTTTCATTTCCCGCGATCTCATCTCGGTACCACGACCGAGCGTTATCTCCGTGGAAAAGTGTTTTCCTTCCTTAGCAGCTGGAAAATTACACAATCTCGTCGCGTCTTGTGAATCGACTCGCTGAACCATGTACGATGATTTATGAACGACGCAAGTGAGACTATTGAGGAATTACGTTTTCGTCGAATGTTTGCTGTGAATCTTCCCGGATGATTTACCTTCCACATTGTAATTTGCGTTTTTTCGTTAATTCGACATTGTGATTGCGTACAAAAGTTCTCTACGTGTGATCGATTTTTTGGTAGTGAGATTTTTTTATGTTGTGACCCGCGCGAAAAATTTGGAAAGTTCGCCGTTACTGGTCGCGATCTGTAAACCGGATTGTTCGAAGATGACGATTCTGCACGAGAGAAATCATCGTCTGATTTCCCTTAAGAACGGACGAGAGTGTATTGAAGGATTGAAGGAGATTTCAAGGATTGCACTGTAATTCCAGCTTCAGTGCCACGGTGGAAAGTGATTTCCTTGTCTCGCATTGGCGCCGCTCTTTGTCCGACGTCAGCGATGATTTATGAGTGTTGTCAGTGAAAATTTTTAATGGACGAAGTGATTGATAAACGTAGGACGGATCTTTTCGTGAACCCGAGTTACCTGGGATGTCGGGCCGAGTCGAATTTTCTTCGAATGTGGAAATACCTGTAAAAGATACCAGGCCCTGAAGGATTATCGCGTCCTGCTAATTGAAATGAAACGTTACATGCGAAATTTCCTGGGGATGCGTGCTCTCTATCAGATCGCATCGATTTCCGATAACGATTTTACGTATCAAGGGTCCGCGTATTTGATTAATTGAAACAAAATGTCGCGCGGTAAATTTCAACGGGCGAGCTTACGCTTTGTAATTGGCATTTCCGTGGGAAACAATTTCTCTTGAGACTTGTTCGACTCTTGCAATCGCAAATCCCGCGCATATATTTTTTTTACTTACTCCGTGCAATTGTCGTGATCAATTATCTTTGAAATTAGAAATTAATAATATCAATGAAGATTTATTTGTTTCTTCTGTAATTGAGGAATCGATATTCCCGATCTTGAATAAATTAGATACACTTGTCGAAGTATTTAGCTTCAATTAATCATTTGAACTTTGAATATTCCGTCAGATATTGGATTCCTACGTATTTGAGAATATCTCTGCATTCGAACGTAAACGATATTATAATCGAGGGAAACTCGTATTAAAATTAAATATTTCCAATAAAAGGATCATTGGAATCGTTTTTTTATGGGCGGGTGATGTGATTTGCAAAGCTTGCGCATTTTGCCAAAAGAGCGCGCACGAAGTGCGGTGAAATAAAATATCGAAGTGAATTGCCGTCGATTGTCTTTGAATATTCATTATCGTACGTTTCGTTCTGCACGTTGCGGCTTAAATTACGGTGACACGTGCATAATAACGTGTAAAATGAAAAATCTAAATTAAAAGATACACGTTCGATCATTTGAACAAAAGTTCGACAATTATTTCGTTCATTTTATTGGCTCATTTTTTCATTTGCGATTAATCGATGCGCGGGCGCATTCGTTAGTCAGTTACATATTAGCAAACGAACGAAACCGCGTAAAGTGTGCCGTTATAATTTGAGCCCGTCGCGATCGACGGGTGAAATCAACGCGTAACAAAACGTCGGGATATTTAGCAAAACGTGTGACGGCCTCGTGACTCATAACCACGACCATTGTGCAGGTATTTCAACGGTGGGCGTATTCTCGAATTCTTGTCGTGTCGTTGCCACTCGACCGTTAGGGAAACCATTGTTCGATCATAGAGACAATATAAACTTTCTCGTTTTGACATAATTTCTCGCTACACTTCAATTTCTAATTTTTTAACTTGTTCGCGCATAATTTTCTAATCCTTTCATTCCAAAAATAAGCCTCAAGCGAACCCTGTTTAACTCTCTCGGTCGCTTCAGCCCGAATTTAATTTCAAACCGGCGATCATGTCACGCGTTGATACAATTTTTGTTATTTGAAAATTTGTTTGATCCTTCCGTTATCTCATTACGCTGCGAAAGACACTTTATTTCTGCTCGCCAGTTTAGCACTCGATCAAACGTAAAGTCCAATTGTCCAACTAAAGAAGAATGTCCGCTTTTAAGAGGTTAGAAATTAACGTTTGACAAAAATAGAATGTCCAGTTGATGCAACGCAGGTGTGAGTTTGTGATCACGCATCTAACGTGTAGCTACTTAGTGCTTGCGTACGCGCGAAAGGCGGCAGAAGCGGATAACGAAGAGTACGAACACGATGGATACCGGCTGCTGTGAGGCCGTTCGTCCAAGCAGAAGCTGAGACCGCAAGTAGAGGTGAGTGGCCGCTCTCCTTGGAATGTTGCGTCGCTTCTCGCGTCTTTTTACCGGAGAACGGAGACTATTATTTTTGTACGAATCGTTAGGGACCTGTTCCGGCCACGGTTGATAAATTTGTGGCGAAATAGAGAAGCGTTATCACGCTTCCGTCCATCAACCTTTAGTTTCTCTCTTGCTTGATTAGATGCAGAAATTAATTCGGTGGCATGTTCAGATTTCGACGAGTTCTTGGATCGTTGTGATTGGCAATTATTTTTTTGGAT